GAAACGAGACCGACGCTTCCATCTCCCATTATTGGAACGCCGCGCCTACCCAGGAACCAGATCCGCACCGTGACTGACTGCGCTATTCGCGACCTGCCCAACCATCTCGCCGAGACGGTTACCGAGCCTGTAAACAACGCGAAGAGAACTGCCGAAGGTGGCGAGCTTGTCCGCCTGCAGACCGCCCTCCAAATCGTGGCGAAAATATAAGACATGCTAGCCCGGGCCCGCGCCGCCCGAGAGAGGGCCCCCCGTTCCGCCGCCGCCTCCGTCGTCAACGCATCGCCATCGACATGGGAGGAGAGAGACGGAGGGGTGGGCGCTGGAGAAACGATCGAGGGCCGCCAAACTGCAGGTTCTCAAACAGATCGTTAAGGATGTCCCCCGACGGGGGCCTGGAGCGCGCAAAGCACGGGGCCGCGCCGCGCGCGCTGCCCAGCCTAACAATGCGTGGCCCACGCCAGTAAACACGCGTGGTTTTGACCATCGTTCGGTTGAAACGAAGATCCAAAGCACGGCCCCGTAAAACTTCAAGGTCGACGCTCCCATAATAATTGGCGCCACCCCAGATGCCCCCCAGGGGGGCATGGCCCTCCTGCGCCGCAACCTCCACGCGCGCCGCCCGGCGCCAGACCACGTCCCGGGGCCCCGCCAAGGCCCGTAGGCCCAAAACTTCCTCGGGAAACGCCCGTTGAAATCCACGAGGCACGACCCACGGAGACGCCCCCGAAACCTAACGGGCCCCGCAGAAAGTAGGGTGGGTCGGAGGCCGACCCTGGGTCTCTCGAGGAGAGGGACGAGGGGCCCAAACTACTGCTCGGGAAGCAATCCCAACGACACGATGGCCGGCGCAATAAACCCAAACGCGCCAACGAGAAGGTCTCTCGGCTTCGCGAAAAGTGCCAGGGCGGGCCCGCGCGACCGCGGGTGCACATTTCGGCATAAATTATGCGAGTCAACGCATAGCCCGAAACCCCCCATGACAAGTTGTCCTGCCATTCGCCCCAAGTCCCCCCCCTTCTCGACGGCCTTCGCCGCCTCGTCGACGTCGCCCCCCCGCGATTGGAAGAGGTCGGCCGCCTCGTCCGGCCACGCGGCCGACGAGGCCGCCCAGCGCCTCGCAAGCATACGCGCCCGCGCAAGCGCGCCGCCAAGCCGCGCGCCAAGGCCTTCGCTAGGGCACGGCTGCGAGGCTGCAATCTGCGCATGATGGGCAACATCAGGGACAAGCCGTCGCTCAGCAGGGGTCTCGCGGGGGTCTTGGAGGGCCTCTTGGAGCCCGCGAGCAATTCCCACAGCCTCGCGCATATGCTGGGCGAACCACCCTCATCCACTGGCAGCCCCCTTCCTGCTGGCCCCCCGAGGCCTCGAGAAGATGGCGGCCCAGCGGACTCTAAACCTAGGCCATGTCCTCTACTGTTGATCGTGACCCCCGTGGGAAAATTTGGATTCTCTTCCGAGCGTGTTCGGAAAATTAAGCCAACGCCTGACTCGAGACTTCCCGCGCACATCCTACACTACGATGGAGCGCGGCCTCCGCAGCATGCCCGGCGACGTCGCGCGCCAAGGTCCAATCCCGAGGACGGGGGAAGGGCCTCGCAGGCAACTCGACGGGAAGGCGCCGGCGCGATCGAAAAACCAACTGGCACAACGAGATCGAGCATCATGAAGCTCAAACACAGGCCTGCGGGGTCGCCCCGCCCACTGAAGGTCGCAATCGATTTTCTCCACAGCGCGCGAGAAGGCGTTAGATCACAAGGAAAAATCGAGCGTGGAAAGCGACGACAGGGCGACGCACGCGCGCTCCATCGGCACAGAGAGGGCAGCGTCAACGCGTCTGGTCAGGCCGACGGGCCCCACAAGACTGGGCACGAGGTCCCAGCCCCCTCCGGCGACGAACACCGGCACGACGGGATATCGACGACAACCTTGACCGCCCGTCCAGGTCCCAAGACTCTCGTTCCATCAAGGCCACCTGAGACCAAGACTGCGCCTGGCGAGCACAGCAGAACCCTACTTAGGACGACCCCACAGCCATGGATGGAGGGCGTCGCTAGGAATTCCCACCCCAACTTACCGACGGCATCACATCTGCCACCCAGGTCTTCAGGGAGGAAACCCACTTCTTGAGCCAACGCAATCACGGCGGACACAGTTCGCGAGACGATCACGCAACGCGGGCCAAGGAACGCAGATGCACGCCCCAATGAACCCCCCAGCGCCGAGCCCACACAAAAACACGAATGCTCAGGAAGACGAGGAAGCGGTGACACGGGCATGCCGTATCTGGACAGAGGAAAACCACAACAGAGCGGCATGGACTCACTCACCCTGCCGCCCACACATCCGTCGCTCAGCCAGCAACTCGGCCAGCTTCGCACTCCATTCCCCTTTGTCAGCACGCCGCGACATGCAGAAGAGCGGTCCCAATTCGTCCACGCCGAGACCAGGCACAGGCGCGTCAAGGCCGTCGCCGCTGTCTGCCGCTGCCGCACCCGCGCCGTCGGCGGCCGCGCCAGACGCACGCGATTGGGCCAGCGCGGGCGGCGCGGCAGCAGGCAGGGCCGCAGCCGCGATGGGCGACTGGGGACGGGCGGCAGCCCCACCGCCATGCACAGGTTCGCCACCATGAGCATCCCGAGGAACAGGGCCGGGGGCGAAGGGCGACGGTGCTGAAGCCGAAGATGCTGACATGGCCGCTCGCAACTGCTGCTCTTCGAGCTTATCGAGGTACTTCTGACACATCTAAGACTCCACAAGGCCACGCATCGCACCCTTCTCCTGGCCGTCTGCCAGGTCGTCGAGGTTGAGGCGAGGTTTAGCACCAGGGAAGTGAGCAACGGGCAGGCGATTGAGGTCCAGGATCTCCAGTTCGCACGCCGTGTGCTGCGCGCGCTGGGAGTCGAGCTTCTCGGTCGTCTGCTAAATGACACGTAGCTGCTCGTTGATGTCGTTCGCGAGGCTCTTCAGCTTGACCACGACTCTGGCGAGCTTGTGGCCTGTGTTGGTGTGCTGCGCGAGGGCTGGCTTGCAGGCCGCGAGGGCCCTGCGCGCCTCCTGCAACTGAACTCCAAGACCCTGTATGATCTCAGTCCCGCTGCCTCCTAGCGTCTGGACGGCCTGGTTCGCGGCTTCGAAGCCTTTGATGTTGTCACGTATATGCTTATCAGTGTTCTCCTCCTCGGCAGTGCTCTGGCTAGTAGACCCAACCAGCACATCGCTAGAGGTGGAAGAAATGATGGGCTTATCGTACCGTTTCAACAACTGTTCAAGCTGCCGCTGTACTTTGTCTTCACGAGAAAGGGCCACAACCATCAGGACGACGTCCAGCTGGGAGAGACCTCGCGACGTTGCCATTCGCGTTCGTCGAACTATCATTGACATGTTGGCGGGCTGCGCTGATGACTCGAAGATGCTGATCGACCGCACCTGCACTGGATCCTCGACGCCCAGTTGATGTTGAGCCCGCAACCTCCGCACGTCCAGAAAGGTTGCCGTAGGCCACGAAACACAGGCCCGTCATCATCCGCAGAATCCCCCGTCACAGGGCGAGGGGAAAGACACTGGGGTCTCCGACCCCGCCAAAATTTGACTAGCAGCAGACCTTGGCCGCTCTGAAGATGCAAGCTGGCGGCGGCGGCGCTCGTGCGGGCTCGTGTTGCGGCTCGTTGGGGGTTCGGTGGCCGCGCTGGTGAGTCTGGCCGTGCTGGTGTTGGAGCACGCCGATTATGCTCGAATCGGTGCCACGCCGGGGCGGCCGTCACTTCGCACAAACGCAAGCGTGGTGCTGTACGTCACGACGCACGCTTCGGGTCAGCACAAGAGTTTCTTAGGATGTTTGCCGCCAGTACGAGTGGCGTGTCGCATCGGGACAACAGGCCACCTCGGAGAGACGCAGCCCAGGACCCCCGGGGGCACCTGAGGGAGAGCCGCCTCCCCAGAAGCGCGAGGCGTGAGCCGCAGAACGAGGCGAGCAGAGCCCAAGCACACTTGCCCTTCCGCGCCCTTCCGCGGTCGCGCGGCTGAGGAGTGGGAGCAGGAGCAGAATAAGTACAATGGGGGAGAAGGAGGAAGAAGAGGAGGAGGGAGAGGGGGAGGGGGAGGAAGACAAGTTAGGTGCGCTCGCGTCAACATCTGACATCCTACCCCTCCCTCCCATCCCTTACCATGGCGCTGATTTCTCTATCCGCGGACGCGTGTCGTAGCGGACCTGTGGCTGCGCGTGTGCGTGCGCGTGCGTGCGCGTGTGTGCGTAGTGGGTGGTGGTGTGGCGCGCGTGCGTGCGTGTGGCGGTGGTGGTGGTGGTGTGTGTGTGTGTGTCTGTGTGTGTGCGTGTGTGTGCGTGTGTGTGTGTGTGCGTGCGTGCGTGTGTGTCTGTGTGTGCGCGCGTGTGATGTGGTGTGACGCGGTGTAGCGTGGTGGTGGTGGGTGGGGTAGTGCGGTGGTGGTGGCGGTGCGCGGTGGTGGTGCGCGTGCGTGCGTGCGTGCGTTGGTGGTTGGAAATGGCGGTGGGTGTGCGTGCGGCGGGGCGGGGCGTGGTGCGGCGCGGTGTTGGCGGGCGGATGGGCGCGCGAGAAAGAGGCCCGCGCTGGGGCGAGAACGCCATCCTGAACGACGGAGGCCAAACACCGATCCGCAAATGAGGCCCACGCTGCAGCGGGAGCAGGATTCGGACCGATTCGGGAGCAGAAATGAGGCGGGCGCCTCAGCGAGAGCAGCATTTTGAAAAAAAAAAAAAAAAAAAAAAAAAAAAAAAAACGCAGGCGAAAACCCAACTCCCGGGAATCCTGTGTAAAAAACAATACGGGGGGGGGGTCGACTACTCCCAGGACGTCATCAGGGGAAGAGGGAGAGTAGTATTCATATTGAGTAATTGTGGAGGAGGAGGAGGAGGAGAGCAGAAGGAGGAGGGGGAGGAGGAGGAGAGGAGGAGGAGAGGGAGGGGGAGGAGGAGGAGGAGGAGAAAAGGAGGAGAAGGAGGAGGAAGGGGAGCGGGACGCCTCGCGAGCCTTCCTCTGCATCTCGGAGAAGGCCTTGGGGAGCGGTGGCACGAAGCAAAGACCCACGAACCTTCCTCCTCCTCCTCCTCCTCCTCCTCCCTCCTCCTCCTCCTCCTTCCCCCTCCGCATCCTTCTTCCCCCTCCTCCTACCCCATCCTCCTCTTCCTCCGCCACCTCTTCCTCTTCGTACTCCTCCTCCTCCTCTCCTCCTCTCCTCCTCCTGCTCCTCCTCCTACTCTCCTCTTCTCCTCCTCCTGCTCTTCCTCCTCCTCCTCCTCCTCCTCCTCATCCTCCTCCTCCTCCTCCTCCTCCTACTCCTACTCCTACTCCTACTCCTACTCCTACTCCTCCTACTCCTCCCCCTCCCCCTCCCCCTCCAGCTCCCCCTTTTTCCCCCTCCTCCTCCTCCTTCCTTACGATCCTCGCCCGTATAAATGAATCTTCCCTGTCGCACCACAAGACATGTCCGTAGGACGGGCAGGGCGTTTCGCTAGAGACTTGTTTACAACTTACGATGCCAAAGATGGAAAATCCCAGCAGTTACACGGATGGAGGGCAATACCGTTTCGAAATGTGACTCTCGCCGCGGAGCCGCGAAACATCAAAATAAAAAACGTTCAACCGATACATGGATCGAAGGCAGTACCTTTTCAAGTGTGACTCTCGCCGTAGCGCCGCGCACATTCGTTTCAACAATTTCAAATAGTTGCGCAGATGGAGGCCCGTACATGTTCCAAATGACGCTATCACCCAAGACCTCCTCGAAAAATGCCACCACAAGCGCAGCATCCTGCAACAGCTGCACTGATGGAGGGTGGCTCATTCGCCAGGTCGGCGTTGCCTGTAGGGGTTCTTGCTTGCTTGTGGAAGAAAACGATGTCACTGCACCGACCTTGCAGACGTGCTGCAGAGGATTTGTGGGTGGATGTGTGTAGTCTTCATTCCTGGCCAAAAAAGAATCCGCACGAAATTCACTTCAAAATCCAGAGCGAAATTCTCCAGGACAGTCTGGGCCCATCCCAAGTGTTTTCCGAACGAGAAATCCGCTCTGCGATGTTGGCGCCATGAGATTAGTGCGGAGCCCATCGTCGGAGGCGACCCTGGGCGCTGCACAGGGAGCCCCAGGGCTCCTGGGCCCCCCGGCGTTGCGCTGAGTTCCTCGGGGTTCCTATGGGGTCGCCAAGCAACGCCAGGCAACGCCAAGCAACGCCAGGCAACGCCAAGCAATGCCAAGCAATGCCAAGCAATGCCAAGCAACGCAAAGCAACGCCAAGCAATGTCAAGCAACGCCACGCGACGCCAAGCAATTCCAAGCAATGCCAAGCATTGCCAACCCCATTGCAAGGCAAATCCATACAAACAGATGTCAAGCAATGCCATGAAACGCAAAGAAATACCTAGCCATGCTAAGCAATGCAAATCAATGCCAAGCAAGGCCAAGCAATGCAACGAAACGCCAAACAATGGCAAGCAACGTTTCGAAACAATGTCGAGAAACGCCCAGCAATGCCAAGTAATGCAAAGCCAATGCCAAGCAATTGCAAGCAATGGCAAGCAACGCCAAACCATGCTTTGCATGGCATTGCCTTGCACTGTTCAGATCTTCACTGAACTGCGATGGAGGCAAAACAAGACCCCAAGTTGGGGCCCCGCCAGATGTTCGATGTGGGGCTCTCGTCGGAGACGTCGTGAAAATCCATGCCCAAGAGTGAACAACAACAACAACAACAACAACAACAACAATCATTTTACCCGAACGCTCAGTGTTCTCACCAGTGCCAGGGTTTTCATGCGACGCGAGACAATACCCCCACTTCGTGGGGGGGCAGTTCAAGCTCTACCAAATATCCAAACGACTCTTCGCGACCACCCAAACCCAGCTTCCCGCCCTATGACGTTGGGACACTTCACTTCGTGGCGTGCGGACGACCGTGGCTACTACACTGGCGTGGGGTACACACCCACAGAACTTGGTCACTTATTCGGGGCGCGCGTGTGCCCAGCATCCTGCAATTGTGACATACAATACATGACACAGACAGACAGAGAGAGAGACAGAGAGCAGACAGAGAGAGAGACAGAGAGAGCGGAGTTGGTCACATTTTTGGGGCAAGTTCCTGAGATCGTCGTGTTTTTTGTTGGTCTTGCGCGCGCGAATGTCCACTTTACTTTTTTTTTGCAAGGGAGTATTGAAATTTGATTATGTTAGAACAAGAAAAAGTAGCTCGCGCGAGCTCATGTAACATAAATGTTGAAAAACCAGAGTCGGACAGCGCGCGCGGAATGAAATTTGGACATTTTTTTTTGAAAAACCAGTGGGTTTTTTGATGTTTTTATGTTGAAATCGTTACGAAACCTAAGGTTCTGGAAGGATTTCGTCTTGCGCGCGCGAATGTCCACTTTACCTTATTTTTTGCAAGGGATTATTGAAATTTGATTATGTTAGAACAAGAAAAAGTAGCTCGCGCGAGCTCATGTAACATAAATGTTGAAAAACCATTGGTTTTGTGGGATTCGGACAGCGCGCGCGGAAGGACATTTTGACAATTTTTTCTTAAAAAACCATTGGGTTTTTGATGTTTTTATGTTAAAATCGTTACGAAACCTAAGGTTTTGGAAGGATTTCGTCTTGCGCGCACGAATGTCCACTTTACCTTATTTTTTGCAAGGGATTCTTGCAATTTGATCAAGTAAGAACAAGAATTTTCATTTTCTATTGTTTTTTGCAAGGGAAAACGGGGGAACAAAACAACCGGATCCGGACACAATCCACTTTTCTGAAGCTTTCGCGAAAAAATGATGAAAATGTAGCTGCGGCCTAGGCGCGGCGCAGAGGTCGCGCACCAGGGGTCCCAACAATAATAATTCTTTAGAAGGAATAATATTCAACAGCAGCAACAACAACAATAATAACAACAACAACAGCAACAACAACCACAACAACAACAACAACAACAACAGCAACAGCAACAGCAACAGCAACAGCAACAACAACAACAACCACAACAACAACAACCACAACAACAACATCAGCAACAACAACGACGACAACAACGACGACAACATCAACAACGACAATAACAACAACAACAACGACCACAACAACAACAACAACAATAACAATAACAACAACAACAACAACAACAACAATCATTTAAGACTGGGGACACTCCGTTCTCACCAGTGCCAGGGTTTTCATAGGAGGCGGGCAATACCCCCACTTTGTGGGGGGGCCGGTTCAAGCTCTACCAAATTTCCAAACGACTCTTCGCCACCACCCACACCCAGCTTCCCGCCCTATGACGTTCGGACACTTCACTTCGTGGCATGCGGACGACCGTGGCTACTATTCAGGGCCCCGCGGCCGACGACGACGGCGTGCGCGCGCGAAGAAAAAACGAATGTGTCCCGCATGGTATTATTTGACAGGGATGATGGCCCTGGCAGGTGCGCAACCGTTGTCGCAGAAGTTCGAAAAAGTTGCTCGCAAAAGCCCGTTTGACAGAAATGTTTAAAAAGTGTTGGGTTTCCTACGAATCCGCAAGAGCGCGCGGGATGAGATTTTGACATTTTTTTGTTGAAAAACCATTGGTTTTTTGATGTTTTTATGTTAAAATCGCTCCGAACACTAAGCTTTTGGAAGGATTTCGTCTTGCGCGCGCGAATGTCCACTTTACCTTATTTTTTGCAAGGGATTCTTGAAATTTGATTATATTAGAACAAGAAATGTCATTTTCTATTGTTTTTTGCAAGGGAAAGCGGATTACAACAAAACAACCGGATCCTGTACACACCCTCTTTTCTGAGGCTTCCTCACGAAAATGATGAAAATGTAGCTGCGGCCTAGGCGGCGCAGGGGGGGCGCGCACCAGGGGGCCCAACAATAATTATTCTTTAGAATAAATAATGTTCAACAACAACAACAACAACAACAACAACAACAACAACAACAACAACAACAACAACAACAACAAAATGCACGGACGGAGTGTGGTTCATATTCAAAGCAGGCTCATCGGATTCCTTATGCCTCGATGGATGGAGGGCGGCTTCTTTCAAAGCGGAGCTCCAACCCGAGCTGCGGGTCCCAGGCAAGCTCGTCTTCCGCTGGGGGGGGGGGGGGGGCCTTTCGCGCATGGAAGCTGGCAGAATGCTTGCAGGGATCCGTGAGAAAAGGACGCGGGACGGGCTGGCACATCTCTGGATGACTGCCGTTCTCCTCCCCTTCCTGCAACTCCACCTCCTCCTCCAGGCTCATATGGCATCCTCGGCCTCTTGGCCCGCGGCCTTTGCCGAGGGCCCTCCTGCGGAGCAGGCGGTGCTTTCGGCTGAAGCAGGACTCCTGCTCTAGCCTGTGCTTTGGTGCAGGAGTCACGCTAGTGAAAATACTCCTCCTCCTCCTCCTCCACCTCCTCTTCCTCCTCTTCCTGCTCCTCCTCCTCCTCCTCCGCCTCCTCCTCCTCCCTGCTCCTCCTCCTCCTCCTCTTCCTGCTCCTCCTCCTCCTCTTCCTCCTCCTTCTCCTCCTCTTCCTCCTCTATTCTCCCGTTTCTCCCGTTTCTAATTCCTTTTCCTTATGAATAACTCCTGTGTCGCACCCCGAGGCCAATCGGAAGGGCAAGCCGGGCGTTTCGCCTGAGACTTTCTTACCATCTCTGGTCCTGACAACAGCTTGACAATAGTTTCACAGATGGAGGGCGGACGGCTTTCAAAAACGTGACTCTCCCCTTAGCGCCGCGCAAATTCGTTTAAAAAATTGCAAGTTTCACGGATTGGCAGCGGGTGGTTTGAAAAATGTGGCTCTCGCCTTAGCGCCGCGCCCCTCCGATTTAAAAATTGCAAGAGCTTCACGGATTGAGGCGGGTCCTTTTCAAAATGTGGCTCTCACATTTGCGCCGCGCACACTCGTCTTCAACATGTGCAAGAGCTTCACGGATTGAGGGCGTTCACTTTCGAAATGTGGCTCTCGCCTTAGCGCCGCGCACATTTGTTTTAAACATGTGCAAGAATGTCACGGACTCTCACGGCCAACGTA